TTCCATAAGTTGCCTTTTCACTTTCTTGATCATTTCTTTTGCTGCACAAAAACTTTTTAATTTGATATAGTACTAATTGTTTGCTTTTGCTTTTGTTGCTTGTGTTTTTGTTGTCACATCCAAAAAGTTGTTGTCAAGGCCCGTGTCAAGAATCTTTTCCCCTAGGTTTTTCTTTTAGTCATTTTATGGTTTCAGGTCATACATTTAAGTCTTTAATCCATTTCTTTTTTTTTTTTTTAAGATTTTATTTGAGAGAGAACGAGAGCATGAGCATGAATGGTAGGGAGAGGGAGAGGAAGAAGCAGACCCCCCCACCGAGCGGGGAGCCCAACATGGGGTTCAATCCCAGGACCCTGAGATCCTGACCTAAGCTGAAGGCAGGTACTTAACCAACAGCCACCCAGGCACTCCAAGTCTTTAATCCATTTCGAGTTAATTTTTGTGAGTGTTAAAAGGTAGGGGTCCAATTTAATTCTTTTGCATGTGGTTATCCAATTTCCCCACTACCTGTTATTAAAGAGATATCCTTTCCTCATTTAGTATAAGTGGCTCCCTTGTCAAATATTAGTTATCTGCATATTTGAGTTTTTATTTCTGGGCTCTCGATTCTGTTGCATTCATCTGTGTGTCTGTTTCTGTGCTGATACTATATTGTTTTGATTACTATAACTTTTTGGTGTAATTTGAAATCAGTAAGTATGATGTCTCTAGCTTTATTTTATTTTATTTTTTTTCCACGATTGCTTTGGCTCTTCGAGGTCTTTTGTGGTTCCATGTGAATTTTAGGATTGTTTTTTTCTATTTCAGTGAAAAATGCCATTGAAATCTTTGTAGGGATTGCATTGAATCTATTGATGGCTTTGCATAGTATAGACATTTTAACAATATCGATTCTTCACATCCATAAAATTGTTAGTTACATTTGTTTATTTACTCCAAAGATACTTATAAAATTACTATGTTTATAATTTTCTTAATTTTGTTAAAGTTCAAAATTTCAACTATAACATAGTTAAGGCCTTTGTTTTTTCTTTTTAAAAATATTTTACCTTGTATCCAGTGAGCTCTTTTGCAAACTCGCGTCTTTTTACAGCTCAGAGACGAGTTATTATCATTATTAAATAGGTTATCATTTATTTTCTTTCAGCTTGTTATTCCCTTCTAAAATTCCTATTATATTTAATACTCTATTTCTCTATCTCAGCATTATCTTTTATTATTTATTTTGCTGGAAAATCTTATCATTTTATCATTTTCCTCTTAGCTCATTCATTCAACATATATTTATTAAGGACATGCTCTGTATCAAATGTTCAGTAGGCACTGGGAATATGTAGGTGACCCTCTCAGAAATAAAGCCCCCCTTCCTAGAACTGATGATCTGGTGAGGAAAACAGGTAAGGGGGTAAGCAATTGTAAGCCCCCACAAAACTTCCTAGAGGGAGTTTCTTAAACTGGGTTTTGTTGGTTACAAAGCTGTTCTCTCTCGCCTCTAAAACCACTGGTCTGTAGTTTGTAAAGGGCTGGGGACTTCTTTGCTAGATCCTGGCTCCCTGTAAGGTTTCACCAGCAGGAGGCACCAGAGGGGACTGAACAATGGAAGTGGGAGAAAGGCTACTTCTTGTGAATTTTCTGTCCAGGTCAGTACACCACCCCCGCTCCCCTCACCCAGAGTTTCTTCATCCTAGAAGTGGCAGTTGCTTCTTGTTTCCGGCTTACTATTTTTTTCCCAAATGCTTCCAGAACCAGCTTTGTCAGGCGCCATGGAAGTGCCAGCACCAAGCTGATGCGCAGACTTTCTCAGGGGTCTTGGTCTTGACTTGGATCCCTCTTCCAGGTTCCCGAGGTGCCCGCACCAGTGCCCAGTGCTGTGCGGCTCTGTTATCCCGACCTCTTCCTTTTGCCTCATCGTCCCCCTTTGCCTTTTTAATTTTCCTGCCTGGATCCTCCCTCGTTTGATATTCTGCAGTATTTAGGATGCTGTTTACAGTCTTCATGATATGTATGTTTCTAACTCAGCACTTATGTTGTTTTTTTCCCCCCTGCATAGTGGCAGTTTTCTTGATCTCAGATGTTATCCTATTTATAACTCCCTACTCTAGATTCTCAGTTGCTATTTCCTTTTGATTTTAAAGAGCTTAAATTAGAAGTTATCCAAAAATGCCTCCTGTTTCTTGTCTTAGAGGAAGCCACTCAGTTTCAGTTCTATGGTTTGCCTCCTTTATTTGTAGAAAAATTGTTTTTATATGGTGGGGGATGGTTTCCCTACTGTTGGAAGTTGCATAGGTTCCTGTCTGAATTTTTCAAGTCTTGGAACTAATGTAGCTGATAAAAGTACTTAGTTGCCAATTCAGAAACTTAATTAGTTGAGTGACCTATGGTGAGAATCAGAGGTAGAGTTGGAAGCAGGTACCTCTGTGTCTAAGAGTTTATTTCCATGGTTTTTAATACATTTAGTAGTTAGCTGGAATTTGTCTGGTCTGTTTGCCCTCTTTGGGAATCAGGAATGCTAGAGTTCCCGCCTCTGGTACAGGCCAGGACACGGTGATAGTTGCGTTTCTCCTTTGGTATGATATCTGGTACATGGTCAGCTGCCTGTTAGGATCCTGATACATGACACCACACTTTTTCCCTGACCCCTTACTCCATTGCTGATTAATCTTTCATTTTCTTATCTCCACACTGAGGAGTGTTATATGCATCTTGTTGGAACCCTTCCAGTGATTTCCAATGTCAATGGGGAAGAGCAAGAGGCTGGGTAGGTCCCTTCATTAGTTTGGTCCTGGCTGGAGGAGATCTGCTAGAACTGTCTCAAAATTTCTTGACAAGTACCCTTTCCTACATCCCAGGGTCAATACAGGGTTTTCTATTTTGTTGAGCAGTTTGGAATGGGAAGGAAAAATGATTTTGCTCTAGTTTTCTTTTCATCTGACTCTGTATTAACGTAGTGGAGTGCAGAGCTAACCATAAACTATGCATTTTGCTACCGTTTCCATTTTTTCTGAGCAAAGAAAAGGAATAGGAGAGGAAGATAGAATAGAAATTCCCACCGTCCATTTTCTGTGCTTCATCTGGTTGAATACAGATTATTTGGTGTTGTCAAAGCTGCAACCATTATGTAGCAGCATGAAGTAAGCCTTCATTTAGAAAACAAAGCAATCAAGGAAAACAAAATGGCAAACAAACCAAACAAAAATAGCCACAAAAACTCAATCCTTTCCATTAGCAAAGTGAGTGTTAGCAAAACTCGTGTTAGAGTCACTCTCACACTGTATGCTAGACCAATTTCAGTGCAGTCCTCATGGATAAATGAATCCTATGGAAGAGGGATTTTTGACTCACAGATTCCTTGTGGGAGAGCAAAGGAAACTTTGTGGTCCAGTTGTGCAGGCAATGGGAGATTTTTCATTCTGGTGTTTACCCACAGTTCCTCACTCACTTTTATCATAAGTCAGGTGACCCTCATCACACTTGGAGTCAGAAATTCTGAATCATAAGGGCTATGGCAGTTTACGGATCTCGAATAGAGATCCGTAGAGATCCGCTTTACGAATCAGGGGACAGCAGAGAAAGGAGAAGAAGGTTCCTGCCACCTGCCTGCCATGCAAGCTCTTTTCATATCTTTTGCCTCGTATATACTCATGAAGATCCCTGAATATATAGCACTACTGACAAAAGACATCGGTTGCCTCTGGGAGGGAAAACATTAAGAGCAGAATTCCAAAGAAAATGAATACATGGATTGCTCTGCTTGATATTCATCCAGTGTTTCTGACTTGCTAAAAGCAAGTTTAATGTATTTATACAATTTGTAAAGATATAACTGATTCTGGAGCTCTGCTGTTTACAGGGAACATATTTCATCTTATTGTAAGCACTAAAGAAAATTAAATCAATAAATCCACAGCCTGTAATTTGAGATACTCAATTGAAGAAAAATACATTGTCTGGGAGGGAGGGGGAATCATTTACTTCGAGAAAGACTTGTAAAGCTGTCTTCACTCTACTATCCCAGGATTTCGAGTGACGGCAAGAGTTAAGCCTGTGCTGTAAAATTATCAAAGGGTTGTTGTGACACCTCAGAACAAGCAGAGGCCAACTCCCACTTTGGTTCTTGAGGCGTACGCTCAAGTGGAAAGCCATGCAAGGCAAAGCTCTTTCTCTCTGAACTATCCATGTGTCCTTTTCCCTGAGAAAGTTGGGCTGGGCAGAGACTGAATGTCAGGAAACTCAGTGCATGTTTCCCCCTCGTTGCCCTTGATGTTCTCTGTGACCACTGGAAAGCCAATTACCCTCTCCGAACATCACCCTTCCATGTGTAAAAGGTTAATAGTGCAGCTTGTTTGCAAAGTGCCTTGAGCCTTCCATGAAGGGCACTACACAGATACCCAGCGTCGCTGTTCGACTGGAGGGCATTGTATTTTTTAATTATATGTTTGGTTGGATGGGTTATAGATTTTGTTGTGGTTGGATGTTGCCCCATTCTCCCTGGTTACACATAAAAGACTAATAGGTAATCTCCCTCTATTACCATCTTCTAGAGCCCACTAGAGGGTTAAGAGAAAGGCAGAGGTTACAGATTAATAAGGCATTCTTCAGTTAATAAAAAAAAAAAACACATGCATCTCAACTGCGTAATAGCTGTGGATAGCAATTTATTAGGCTAAGTGTTTCATCAGCTGCTAAGCGGATTATATTGGCAGAGACTCAGGGGATGATGAGTTGTTTTTTGTTTGTTTGTTTTCATTCTGCTCCCCCACTAAATCTTTTCTCCTTCATATCAGTATAGAGCATTAGGAAGTTCCGTTTAAGGTTTATTTCAAATGTGCTTGTGAGTATTTGGCAAAACAATTTTCTTCTTCTGGAATTTCTGAAATCCACTGACTTTTCCGTGTATATCTAGTTTATGACATTAAGCTCGTGATTTTATTGTATTTGGAACAAATGTGAATAATACTGGCCCAAGAGCAAATTGTCATGACCTCACACTTTTTTTGCAGATTTACGGAAAAACTTCGAACAAGATCCTCAGGGAAGGGAGGTTCCCATTGAAGGCATGATAGTGCTGCATTGCCGACCACCCGAGGGAGTTCCTGCAGCTGAGGTAAGTGACCCATGGGACCAGACCTGGTCCCAAGAGGGAGAGTGAAGTTCTGTGTGGTCCTAAGTGAAGTAAAAGAGCCTGGGTCTGGCATTCTTGCTGTCTGGACCCATTTGCTAAAGATAATGAAGAAACTGAGAAGGAAATAAGTTGGAAAAGGAAATTGTCTCTCGTCTACTTTGTTGTTGACACAAAGCTCTTGCAAGGTAGTCTGAGTAGGATTTGTGTTCTTGATTCTGGTGACCTCAGATGACACAGATGGCATCCTTTGTGTCCTCAGTCAGTCACCTTGGATGCCGTGATATACACATTGGGTCCTGGATCAACCTGAACTCTAATAGGCAAAGCCACATGAAAAAGTGCACAGGGAAGTAGATCAGCCCTTCGTGACAAGTCTCACTGGTGTTTGTACTTCGTTTTTCTTTACTTATGGAACCAACGTTCATTGAGCATTTATTATGCTGTAGGCACTGTGCTGGCATGGCAGATATAAAAAGTGATGATGTAGCCACAGGTCTCCTTCAGAGTGGGGGTCTAGAATCTGGAGTCACTCTGGTTTTTGCTCCTTGCATGTTTTCTAGAATGTCTACCATGCTATTAGAATATAATTGTCAGGGATGACATATTGTCGTCATAGGGAAGCCTTCCTAAGTCTTTCAGTCACTCTTAAAAGATGTCCTGATAGATGAGTAATACAGTCGTGAAGGCAATATTAGGGGCAGGGACAAGCTAGGCAGTACCAGGAATGCTTAGTAGAATGATCATTTTTCTAAATGGAGGCCTGAGTTGAGTAATAGATAGTCCAGTTGTGGCTCTTCTGTGGGAAGCTAGGAAACCTACCTCAGAGCAATGGTTTGTTTATTCGCTGAGAAGTAGAGGTTTAAAAAAAAAGGAGCCTTTGCCTCCCATTTTTCGCTAAAATTGCTGTGGGATTTTGTAATTGGAAGGACAAAGGAATAGAGAAAATAAAGGGGAATGGAAAAACACACACACTTGCATGTTTAGATAGAAAGCATGCTGGGTGGACACTATTCAAAGCTCAAGTGGTTCACAGAAATGAAGTAAACGGACTTGAAAATTAAAGTGAACATTCCATGCATGATAGGAAATGATTAGAAAGGAAATTTCTAATCTTATTTTTAGATTTTTAGGTTTTTATTTAATGTGAACAGAAAGATTTTTGATCTTCTTTTGCTCCCTTCCTGTTCCTTACAGAGCGTGCTCTGGTTTCCAGAGCGGGGTGATGGGCAGCAGGGCGTTAAGCTCACAGGTGAATGTTTCCCTCCTGTTCAGGACACCCCAGTGGTCCCAGGAGTCTGACCTGGGCATCAGCAGTTTGCTAAAGACACCACCCACCTCTGAAAATCCTGACTTGCAAATGTCCGTGTGGACATGAAATCGGGGCGGGGGGAGGGCGTTTAACTCAGTGCACTTCCTATTCTGCCTTTGACATCATATGACCCTTTTATTTTAACCATGTGTATGTTATTGGGAATAAATTTCAGAGCCAGGCTGGCTGATTTTAAATAGAGGGCCCTTTCAAGGAGCAGCCAGGGCTGCAGGATGTTTTAAAACAGAGATTCTGAGCTGAAAGTGAGGGGAAAGCTGTGTTTTGTACATTCTGTCTTGTAGGATGAATATGGAGAGTGTTTCAGCTACATTATGGGTTAATGGGCTATTGTGGAGCCCTGACAAGCATTTATAGCATCATCATAATGTGAGAAAGCATCCCAATTCCAAACACTCGAGTTGCCTTGGAATTTATGAGTTGGATATACCTATATCCACGCACCAATATTTACAGCTCCTTTAGCATGCAATAGCTTACACGGTGGTTATTACCACCACCATCTGTGTTTTTGCTGAAGGGAGGGCAGAATGCGAGAAGAAAGCTGAGGGAAGAACAAGGAGAGGGAAGGAGAGGGAGAATATACATACCCTTCCAGATGGGGTCTCCCGGGGTGGAGACGACTGCCCATGCCTGTCACGTGGTCTTCAGATCTCCAAGAGTACACCGCTGTGCATTCTGACCTCACAGGCGACGATCCTGCAGTTCATGACTCTCCAGGATGGCCGTGATTGGGAACTCTGCTTGGAAATCCATCAGTTATGTCAAAATTGTCACTGTAAAATACTACCTGTTCTCTTCCTTGAGCGCGGATGCGCTTCCCTTTCCACCACGTGATTCCCTTCATGCCCACCTGCTGTGGGGCCACGGGGTCATCACTAGAAGGGGTTGTGCCTGACAGAACCACTGGTATGTCAGCTGGTTTTGTCCTCCTGTGACATAGGAGGTATCCTCCTTGGCACTTTGAAGACCTGTACAATTGTCTTCTCTCTGTGAGGTAGAACTTCCTACACAACTGACTCACCCGTATGAGCACAGAAGATGGTATTGAAGCATAGAAAGAACTACCATGTAGAGAATGTCCCCATGTGCTGGGCGCTGTGTTCAGTACCTTCTCTGTAGTATTTCATTTGATTTGCAAAAGAGATGCCAGAAAATTATAGGTGTTTTCATGTCCTTCTTATAGGAACTTGCCCAAGCTCTCAGATCACTAGCAAGTCAATCTAACCTTAAAGCTCAGATCTTTTATTTCTTCTCTAATATTTTTTGTTGGTTTTTAATGAGACTGTTGGTTGTCAGTTTCCCCCAAGCCTTTTTGAAGCTTAAGAGCCCCTCGGCCAGTGGTAACCTCTCTGTTTGTTATGCTACCTGACTTTCCATCCTTAGAAATGGAGCTTTAAATTAAAATTTCTTCTAGCTAATATGCCAATCCTAAACCTTGTGTAAATTGTGTTCTTTTCTTTGAGGTAGGTAATCTGGTGGTAAAACAAAGAACAGCGCAATGGGAAAATAGAGGCTTTGGGAGCTCAGGGGGACAAGGAACAGGGAGAGGGACATCTGTGGAGCCTCTGTGCTCCCAACGGCCAGCAGCCTCGGTTTGATGCTGTCCTAGGAGATAGGAAAGTACTGGATGTCCAGAGTTACAGGGAAGAGGCCATGGAGGAGAAGAAAAGGGGGCATATAAAAGCGGAGGGGAGAGATCCTAGGGTAATCTCTACCCTCATTACATTTTTCCTATGTCTGGCATTGGCCATGACTGATCTCATTGTCATGAAGGGTCAGACCCTGACTAGCCATTCCCAATGCTGTGACCTATAGCAATTTACTAGCTACTGTGAACCTCAGATTCCTCATCCAGAAATGGGAACCATATTTTCCTTGTAGGATTGCTATGACGCAAAGAAAGAAAAAAACCTGAGAATGTGCAAAACGGTTTTTAAGTACTAAATAAATAGTTTGGATTATTGTGGTTTCTCTTCTTCCTCTTTATCCTAGTCTTTTATAAAAAGATTCACAAACCTTTGGTTCTCAGAGAAGATGTTAAGGCTCCATTGTGGTTGGAGAACCAGATTAAAACTGAGACCCTTAAGATACCTGACACATTTTCAGCCCCGTGAAAAAGCAGGGTGCTGCTAAGACAATCCCTCCTTACCTCAGACTTCCCATGAGCTCTGCCTTTCCTGCCTGAGCCCTCTGTTCTTACTTCTCAAGCTCATCAAAGGACGAAGGCATGCTCTCCACTTTCCTCTCTTTTAATCTATCACATGGAATGAGTAAATGGTTATTGACAGAAGCTGGTGACTCTCAATGTTTGTTCATCTCACTTACCCCAATGGAGAGTCTAATGTATGGTATTGTTAGTAGCAAAATACTTTCCAAAAAGTAGCATATGAACTTGAAGATTCTCACCAGACTCATTTACACACTGGTTTGGATGAAATAATAGGCCACACACTCTGCAAAGTACCTGAAATGTGAACAGATGATAATTCAAGTTTTTCTAAATGCTGTGAGCTCCTCCTATAGCTGAATGTATTAGAGCATATTTGTCACGCAGTTACTTTTAACCTTAACCTTGGGACAATTCTAACTAAAGAGAGCAACTTTAGTGTTTGACACTTGATGTTTAGCTAAAACCAGTTTGCTCTTTTCAAAACAATTCATTATCCCACACTGCACTTTTTTATACTCCCCAATTAAATGGTAAATCTATCTTTCATAAAAGTTAGAAATTATGTCCAATGAAAATCCGACATTTTAATGATTTTCCACAGATTAAAATTGTAGAGTTCTCAATAAATCCTGATTTACTGATGTTGGCTATAAAATGGTTATTGCTGTTAATAAAGCTTGTAAATCTAAACAGGTTATATTTGCCTTGGACAATAAAACTTGCCATAAAGGCTTAGTGTCTAAGGCTAATTCTGCTCACATCAAGGTAAACAACCTACTCAAAATAATTCAATGTCTTTGAGAATTAAGGCCCCAAAGCTAAGTAACTGACAGATTCTAGCCTTGAACCAGGCACTATTCTTGTTTTTATCTCACCAAGGAGTCAGGACCGTGCTGGAATTAGAAAATTCAAGAAGGTCAGGGGCCTTAGCACAGTGTGGGTAAGGAGAAGGGTCCCCTCTTTCTGTTGAGCGCCAAATCAGTTTTGTCATTGACTGATCACTAGGTTGGAATGCTTGTATAGCAAGGGGAGGTTCCAGGACTGGAATGAAAGAATGTATTTTCGGTTTCGTAAAGTGTGTCAGAGTCATACAAGTATAAGAAGCCAAATTATTGGTGGTAGGGGTGTTTGGGAAGGGGGAAGTGGGGGCAGGGATTTGGGAGCAGGAGAGCCTTTCCTTTCCAGATGCCCAGGTGGAAATCAAAGGTATTTTGAGAAGCTCTATTAATCTTAGTGCACTTGGTGGACCATTTGCTTTGTTTTCTTATGTTTGTGGAATTTTTTTTTTTTTTT